AAGGCAATGGAAATCCATCTCTGCGTATTCCTTGTCTAAGAAAACCCTAAGTTGGCAAGAGACTTTGAAGGCAGGTGCAGACACACAGGGAAAGGTTCTTCTCTTCCTGTCTTCTCCCTTCACTAAGTTAACTAAGTGCACAATACTTTTGCACTTTGAATTCATTTTGCAGCAACTGAAGTAAGCTAAGGACAAAGGGGACATGTGAAAAGAGGAAAGAGAATCTGCTACATTTTAAAGCATCTGAAAAAGGATAAAAGAGGATAATTCAGGACTATCTGCAAAATCAGGACAGCTGGAGAAAATGAGAATGTTTACAAACATGAAATAAATATTCCACTTTGGTATCTCTGATTTACAGTGAGTTTGTTTCAAGTCGTCTTAGAAATGGGACTCGATTCCACAAATAGAACCTTTCTCACATAAGGATCAGTTAAGAATTGTTTCACCTACTGGGTTTTTACCTACTCCAGATCTGATAAAGGCACAGAAGCCCAGCAAAAAAGAAGGAAATAACTTTATGTTCAAGACCCCCTTCCATTTGTTTTGCAGATGGCAGACAAGATAGTTGTAGGACATTTACTTAGCCTACAGGACTGTTACTGTGGCAGTTCTGTGATAGAATATTATATACCTGATGTAGCACTCTACTAAGGGTATGCCAGTAGAATTGATGAAGTTTGATACTAGTTTGTCTGTTACTAATTTAACTACTATGGAATCATTGGAGATGTAGTTTTACAAGATTTTAGCCTTCTCTACCAAAAATCTCACTAAACTACAACTCCCATGATTTCATAGCATTGCACCATGGCAGTTAAAAGGGTGTCAAACTGCATTAATTCTACAGTGTAGATACACCTTAAGCATTGGGTGAATCCACCATTTTAATTCCTCTTTCAGATAAATTTAACTGCAGTTCAGTACTGGTAAAGAACTGCGGTGTGAAAAGGCCATCCACTACACACACAAAAAATGTATTAATTAAACAGGTCTGCAATGAAATTTTTTCACCCATTGTTGTGTTTTTAATGTATTTTTGGTTGTTAAGTGAAATAAAACACACAATAAAAATGTTGAAACACATACAGTTCTTTCACACATTTTATTACTACGGTAATTTCATTCGGTTATATCTTGCAACATCATAACAAGTTGTGAAAAAAATTGAACATAATGGAGCAAAGCTGAGGTTATTTTTGGATTTAGAATGACAAATTCCTATAAAACCAGCATACATTTAAGAAAAGATTTCATGACCCTCTGATTTGCAGGTCTGTGACTTGTTTTGCAGCTGTTTTTTTTCCATCTTGCAGCATAGAAAGAGAGGGAGAAAGCTTGAAAGTGAGGAAGAAGAAATGAAACAAATGATAACATTCACATTATGAAAACTTCAAATCAAACCCATCAAATTATTGCTTACCACTTGACATCTTTGTTGCACACACGGTTCCCTCACGACAGACATGCGGTTGTATCATTAATGGGATAAATTGGAAAGTTTTTTTAAAAAGCAAATTAGAAAAGGGTTTTTTTTACGATTATTGAAAACTTTCTAAGAGTGAGACCTTTATGTGGCTTTTAGGCCACTTGTTCACAACATTTAGCTCTCCAATCATTTTAAACTTTGGTGTCTAAAACCCAAACAGTATGACCAATGTTCAAGGATTTTGGCAAATAAAATTCTAAATAAATGGAGGGTCAAAGTTCAAGAAAACCTTCCCCCCCTTTTGGCAAAATACGAAGAAAATCGATGATATAACTAGCAAACGTTGTTGAAAGCTTTCATGGCCAGAATCACTGGGTTGCTGTGAGTTTTCTGGGCTGTATGGCCATGTTCCAGAAGTATTCTCTCGTATGCCAGAATACTTCTGGAACGTGCCCATACAGACTGGAAAACTCACAGCAACCCAGAGCTAGCAAAACCAGCTTGGCTGTTTTGTTTTTATGGGTCTGGTTTGGTAAAATTCAAGTTTTGATCAGACCAACTTATTTTTCCAGGGATAAAATGGTCTGATCAATTTATTAATCTCAGATTGTCAGAGGGAATAGATCAGCTGTCTGAATTGCTTCCAGGCAATAAGGAAATCAGGTAGACCTGGTAATATTTTATAGATTATCAAAGTTCACTGCCCCCTGTTAACAATACGAACAAAAAACACACAAACATACTTACCTCATTCTCATAACACCAAGCTTTAATCCTCATTTATTTTGTATTTCATTAAATAAAAAAACTTGGGGAATCAGGAAAAATTGTGTGCTCTCTACTGTTAGTACAACGAATTATCTTGTTCAGAATGCACTGATTTTCTACAAAAAGCAATAAAAATGTATTGTTGAAGGCTTTCATGGCTGGAATCATTGGGTTGTTGTGAGTTTTCCAGGCTGTATGGCCATGTTCAGTTGCATTCTCTTCTGACATTTTGTATCTATGGCAGGCATCCTCAGAGGTTGTGGATGCATTTATCATGTACAAGCCTTTGAGTTTCCCAAAAGTCTTCATCAGATTACATGATAAACAAAGATAAAAATAGGGTTCAAAGGGATAAATAGGAGATTGCCATTAAAAGGACATGGTCCTGTCACCAACTCTACTTGTTCATCTTAAATGTTAGGAGAATTGTTAGGGTCACTGTTGATTATCTTGGTTATTACATTACTGTTCTTGTATTTCCTCCAAGGTCTAACACATGGTCTTCCTCAACGACAACTAGGTTAGATTGAAAGATAGTAATTAACTCAAGATCAATCCATTATATTTATGGCCAAGTTGGGTTTTGAGCCTGGGTCTCTTGATTTATAATCCAACTCTAAACCTAATATTATGCCAGGCCTCACACGTAGGAATCATCTTAAAACCTTACTCATAGGATAAGATGAATATTTTGAAGGTTAAGTCAAATAAAGCTTCTCACAGTACAGAATACTGACTTTTATCTGATTCTTCTAATGCAGACTGGTTCTTGAAGCAACAATGGACAGGATTTAATGACCTTCAGGTTTGTTGTCATTTTACACGTGTATTCTTTTGATGGTTGTTAGTTCCAAATAACACCAAGTTTACAAAACAAACAAAGTATTAATGCAATGCTTTAAATATAGATACGAAGTCCTTTCATTTTCCACTCCACCCTATACAAGTCAATAATAGCTTAGCTGGAAGGAAAACCAAAAGAACCACAAAAACAAGAGACAAACTAAGGTTTTGACCACAAATGTCTTTCTTTAGATTTTGTGTTGTTCCCATTACTTCAGCTTGAGGACATGTCCAGATAACTACACCTGCTTGTCTTCATTATAAAGGAAATTATATTTGATGCATTTTGCATGCACACTCAATTCCTAGGCATTGTGGACACGGTTTTTAAATGTCCACTCCCCTCCATTTATAATGGATACTAATAGTATTGCTAAATAATCAGGAAAAGCCAGTTTAAAATTTGCCCTGCAGAAAAACCACCATGTGAAGTTCTTCATAGCACAAAGCAAAATGTTTATTGCATGCTAATTGCTCCAGATCAAATTGCTGTTAAAGGGATGGTTACCCACAGCCAGTTCAAATGTTGGCAGTATTAAACACTGAATTTACAGAAATGAAACCATAAGCATTCCAACTGGATGCAAGATAGTGGGTGAGAGAAGGGGGTAAAATCTTGAGAAAGAATAGTGAAATAATGGAATTATGAAATCACAAAATGTATTACGCTTAGCCTCTGCTAAAATTAGTGGATAAATGTAATGGAGTATATTCACTTTTTAAAAAACTTGCTTCCAAGCCTTTTGTAGCTGGAAGCAAAATATAATTACATAACAAGTCCTATTCATTTCATTAGAACATGTTTCCAACAAGTGTACTTATAAGATATACTGACCTTGCTACAAATGGTCTGAAATTTTATGATAATCTTTTTGGCCACAGTCTTTATTGTTACAGCATGAGAATTACTCCAGTGTCTACTTTCACCGGCTATATTATATGCAATGTTAGGCTACGTCTTCCCATTGAGACTACATTCAATACTACAGGGGTTTTTGGTGTCCCATTTTTGGGAACAGTACACTCCATGCAGCCATGGGGAAGAACTTTCTGATACTAATACCCTGGCTATAGAAGGCCTTTCCTTGGAGGTCGGATTTGGACTGATACAAACTTTATTTTGTTCCTCAGTGTATGTGTATGACACCTAGTGACAGCATGACTTGATTTTTGTTGTGGTTGACATGTCATTTTGTTGAAGTTAAATTGCCTTCATTGTTTAAAATCTTGACATTGTTTCACTTATTTTAAAATGATTCCCTGATTGCACCCTCCCTTAAGATCTGCAAATAAAGGGTAGGTTATAAACAAATCATTCCTATTATTCTATTAATTTATATCCTGCCTTGGGATTCAAGGTAGCAACAACATATTAAAACAGTAACAGCTAAAAGCAGTACAAAATCAATAAAAGTGTAAATGTAAGATGTAAGAAGACTGTTTCTATGGCCCCATCTACACTGCCATATAACATCCACATTACTTGATTTGAACTGGATTATATAGCAGTGTAGACTGACATAATATGGATTATTTGCTTTGATAATCTGGGTTATTTAGCAATGTAAAGGAGCCTAAGTTAAAACAGTAAACATTAAAAATATCAACATGCATTACATTAGCTCTGTACAAACTGTTAAACAATTTAATACCAGCACAACACAACATTAAAATAGCACAGGTACAACTTAACATTTGAATGTTTGAATTTGCAATCAAAACTCCAGCCTATGTGATTGCATGCAACTATCCATTCCCATTCCTCAATCAATTTGTATCTCTAAATGTACTATATGTTACTGGCAATATCTGGCAACATAAACCCGTAGCCAACACTAAATATAACAATAGCTTGGTGTGGAGCTGATGAAATGGAGTGAGTGGAATCCTGAACAGCAGTATTCAATTGTGTAAAAGCAAGATCCACTTGTAATGTTTAGATCAACTCCAAAGATTATGCTTTTTGAAATTTACCTCTGCCTCACATTGCTCAGCCTTACATTTCATCACACTAGCTCTAGTTGGTTGAATGTCAGCCACATAATGAACTGACTCTGAATTTAAATTCAAACTTCAATGGAGTTCAGACTAAAATCTGGAACAGAGTCACTGACTCCTTCACATGGGAGTCACCCACTACTACTGGCAGTAGCACACATAAATAGGCTGCAGTTTCCCAAGCCCAGAGATATGCTCTTGAGACTGAAACCTTATCAGTATTGCAGATATATGTTAATTGTAAAAATAAGATGACCCCCTTGTTTGTGGAATTGTTATATGCAGCTTCACTTATACATTGTTTCTTTTATGCATTTATTCACTTCTCAGTACCTACATTACTTGTCCCCTTGAAAATAAGTGTTTATTGTTATTTGAAGTTCTACGTATCCATATGAAGTGTACAGGCAAAGGCAGTAGCATAATTTGGTATTTTAGAAGGAATCATACACGTATATACACCTGAATTTTAATCCTGGAAAGCCTATGATATTAGTGGAGGGTTTTTTGGGATACTCCTTTCCTAATGGATGATTAAATTGTGCTAGTTTTGAACAGAAATCCATAAAATTATCTATCATTAAAGAAAAAAGATTACCATACAAAACAGTGAATCTGAAATGAATATGGAGATCCCTTGTCATTTGTATTCATAGTTCCTTCTCGAAACTGTAGGATCCTTTCTTCCTCTGTTGCATTTTCAGTGAAAGGGGGACAAAATCTAAAAAACAAAGAACAAAGGAGAAGCAAAGTAAGTTGACTGTATCATATAATTGAACATGCCTAACCTCTTCTGCAGGCATTCAGCACAATACAGTATTTGTCAGAAGAAATTATGTGATATTAACAAACAATCCGAAGATCTGGCTATACATGCTGCAGTAAGTAAGACAACTCAATGAGCTTCTACTATTTTACAAGAGGAAGAGGAAGAAGAGGAAGGGGGGACACACCTTATGATACATTTATCTCCCATCAAACATCTCCATATAGACTCCATATATAAAAAACATATTGAAACCTGCAAAGTGGAGAGTTTGCTTGATTTAATTCAACAGAATGTGCTACAGAGAGCAAAATGCATATTATGTTACATATATTCTACAGGGATGGGTAACATGTGGCCATTGCACTGAAGCTTCCATTAGTTCTAGCCAACATCCTCAGTGATGAATAATTGGAGCTCAAATCTAATATCTGGAAAACCACACTCTAGAGCAGTGGTTCCCAACTTTTTTTTGACCAGGGACCACTTCCCAGAGACCACTCTGACCAGGGACCACTTTGATCAAGGACCACTCTCCAACATTAGTACCAAAAAGGTTACGAATCAGTTTTTGGTCAACTTTAGATTTGGTTTGGTTATTTGGGTGCGGATTCAGAAAATTGCATTAGATCGACCATATCAGCTCTAGTTTCTGATACAGAACATATGCCATCAAGTAGTTGCCAACTGCTCGCCCACAGAAAACCATAATTAATAAGCCTTGGCACTATTAGAGAGTTTTGCAAGACCAGTCGCTCTGGTTACAACAATGTAGTAATGGTGAGGCAATATTTTCATTTTTGTGGACCACTGGTGGTCCACAGACCACAGGTTGGGAAGCACTGCTCTAGAGTCTGGCTACAGAATAATCACAAAAATACACCCTTTACAAATTGTGAAGTTTTCCCATCCTTAATGTAATTGTTTACAGTGAAAAATGTGGGAAATATGCACAGTATTCTCATTTATGATAACACATTTAAATATGGTCAGCAAAAAATAAAGGAGTGCAAATATAACATCTCTGTATTATAGCTACACTAATCTTTGTGTTGTCTATATAGTATACAAGCCCCAATGTATGCTACTGATAGTACGGGAACTGAAATATTAACCATATAACACGTTGAATCAAATGGAACAGTGTACAGATTTAGAAGCAGTAATCAAATCACGCAGATATTTGTTGCTGTTGTATAGCATGGAGATAAGCATCAGCTGACTAAAATTTCTAACTTATAAAAGGAGGATCACTTTAAAACAATGAATAAAAACATTGGTAGGTCCCAATTTAATATTTGCTTAACTTCATTCACAACGTCACATGAATACAAAAAGGACTATGGAACTTCTTATCTTCAAAAATGTAATAATGATAAACAGTATTCTCATTTATGGATAGTGTTGCGCTGACTTATTGAACTGGCAGAATCAGATAATACCATAATATAACAACATATTAACCGCAACACATAGATAATCTGAGTTAATAAAGTGGAACCACACAAATGTTTACTCCCTTTGCATTTTAAAAATACTGATATGCAGAAAAGGCCCTATATATTAGATGCATTCACTTCTCATCTTATTACATGAGATAGGGAAGGGTAGGGCAAAAGATTCAGGGAGTGAGTGGCATGCTCATTTTACTTTTTATAAAACCAAGCCCTAATTAGACTACTATATTTTGTATGTGAGACTGCCCTTGTTTCAAAAGAGACAACTAGCACAAAGCGCAACAGCCACACTGTTTTGGACTATACATGTCAGAGATTGTGTATCATCAGACTTTTAAGATCCCGACAGGCTTCCAATATCCTTTCAAGCTCATTTCAAGGTGCTAGTTTTGACCTGCAAAGCCCCAAATGGCTTACAGCCAAGAAATTTCTAAGACTGCCTCCTCCAATATGAGCTACCTTCAAGTGACCTATCTCTTACTCATCCCAACAGTATTTTTTTCTAGAAGAGCATTGGGCAGCTTCAAAAAGGCTGGGGACACTCTCCCCTCARTCCGTAACTGCCCAAATTGCACCTTACTGCATCTGTGTGCCACTGAATTTTGGATAGCGTAATGAAGAAAGTTATGGGGAGTGTTGCTCTAAAGAATACATTCCTCAGTACACAATCTTCRGTGTTTTATCAGAAAAGTGCAGTCAACTTCCAGTAGCAGCTGACTGGAGAGGCTCGATTCCTAAAGAGAAAAGTTTAATCAAATAAATGAATAATAAAATCCACAAAAGTTAAACATGGTTATGGAACGAAGCATTCCCAGAATAATGGCTGAGACTGGTTAYAGACCAAAGTGAGTGACCACATATGTGAACTGAGTTGAACATGATTTTACCTTGGCGATTTGGTATTTAAGTMTTTTATCTATATGTATTTTAATCTTGAATTGTTGTATGATGTTTTAACTTGTATTTGTAGCATTGAATCCTTGCTGTAAGCCAGCCTGAGTCCTTCTTCGGAGGTGAGAAAATCGGGATATAAAAGTTTTAAATAAATAAATAATAAAATAAATAAATCCACAAACATGGAAGACCAACAGTAATTGTTTTTAGTTATACTTCTGCTTCCTGATGCTTTGCCACATGCTTAAATTAGAAATACTATACAACAGGGCTATTAACCTCTGAGGCACGGCTGAAAGCCCTGCACTCACTCTCAAACTCCTCATGGCCCACAGGCACCTGGACCCATTTCCATATCAATACTGCTAAAAATCAGTGGCCCCTCTCCTTTGAACCTCCTCTTTAAAATACATCTTGCTTTGAAGCTGACCTGCACACCTAGAAGGCTTCAAGGTACACAGTTTGATTTCAAAACAATGCATTCACTCTCTATTTAAAACAATGCCTTGTTGTTTAAAAGCAAGGGTAGGGGGTTGTTTTAATTTTTCTTGCACTATTTGAATTCAGTAGAGATCACAAAAAGAGGCAATGCTTGCATGTAACTAGTGTTAGGGGAAACTACCCTAAAATACAGCAGAGCATCCAAAAACAAACAGGATATAAAAAGTTTGACCATCAGCTCACAGCAAGCAAAATGTGAGGTGCCGTTGGTTGTGGTTGTAAAGAATTCAGAGCTCAGACAGGAAAGATGCAGAGCCCAATCTTAAAAATCACAAAAGATTTATTTACAACTAGCCATCTCCTGCCACGCATTGCTGTGGCTCAGTCTGTGTATATGTGCTTTTTTGTGTGTACATGTGCATATATGTGTGGTTTTGCGCATGTGTTGTATGTTTAATTTTTTGGCTTTTTAAGCCCCTTCTGCTGTGTTTTTCAGTGTTTTTATAAGTGAAGGACACTCGTTGGCCTAATATGTGTATTGTGTCCAAATTTGGTGTCAAATCATCCAATGATTTTTGAGTTATGTTAATCCCACGAACGAACATTACATTTTTATTTGTATAGATAATAAACAATAACTGTATTTCTCAATAATAAGAACCGTATCTGGGTTATTCTAACACGCATCTCTTCTAAGGTTTCAAAGAGAAGGAAAAAACACCAGTGACTACATCTCTCCTGACACACAAGCAGAGAGAGATCTCAAAGCACACAGCACATACTCTCCGTACTAAAGTGTAAGAAGGCAGAAGTCAGATTCAAAAAGGTTTGCAGTAGAAAAGTATCCATTTTTTTAAAAACCCAATCAGAATAAGAGCTGAAACAGAGAGAACAAAATAGATACATTCCCAACTGTCATACAGGAGACATAGGTGAAGGGAAACCCTTAGGACTTGAGACTTGAGCAGTGTGTGGTTGAATTCCAAAAACTACCACACTCTTCATCTCATATATGCTTACTTAGAAGGAAATCTGGTCGCTTCTGGAGCTACAAAGTGGAATCCACGACATGCGAGTGTGGAGAAGAGCAAACTACAGACCACCTGCTGCAATGCAACCTGAGCCCTGCTACATGCACAATGGAGGACCTCCTTGCGGCAACACCAGAGGCCAGATACTGGACAAAGGACATTTAATCAACTACCAAACTTGCAAATTCTGTGTTTTGTCTGTCTCTTTGTTTGTTTGTTTTTGTTAAAAATGTAATACAAATGTCTGGTTGCTGATGACACAATAAATAAGAAGGAAATCTCATTATACTCAATGAACGTTTTCCCAAGTATACATTCATAGAACTGCATCCAAACAACAATGGGAATATTATCCCTTTGAACTTGCTAAGAATTACTTTGGAGTAAGCATGACTAGGGTTGATTTTAGTGCCAGCTTGGTGGAGAGAATTAGCTCAGCAAGAACCTAAACATTTGACCTACTGCTGACTCAGGCAGCCATAGCAAAGACAATTGTGGAGATGTAACATGTGCACCTTATTATGAAGCTTTGTTTTATTTGTTCATGCAAGAATGTGCTTTGTGGTTTCTTCCAAGAAGATTTAGTTATGGGACAAATTTTAACCATTTAATAAATTGGGAAAGCATCAAGAAAGAAACAGAGCACCGTAACCAGCTAACCAGTGATCTGAACCACTGTTACAGCAAGGCTTGCATTTCATTGCTTGAAATTATGCGCCACAATACATCTCTGCTCATTTAGGAGGCCTTTCCCATCTCTGCTGCATAAGACAGTCAGAGGGGATGCTGACTGAACATTACTAAACATCTGAGTAGCCATAAAAACTTATTATTGTGGTTGTTCTTTAAGCTAAATGTGCACTGGGAATGTTGACTGACTGATTAGAGATAAATTGTTGGTTTCAGCAAGACTGCGCCGAACTGCATTAGCCATGCTAGATAAGCATAATGATCTGTAAAGCGGCCTCCAAAACCCCCTTACTCTGAACAGCAAGCAGAAATTCAGATTGGAATCTGACATTATCTTTGTTCAATAAAGCTTAATTACAGAGCCAAAGAAGAACTCCCAGTGCTTTCCATTCATCTAATAGACAGCAAATGCCTCTTGTGAACAGGGAGGACACCAGGAGGA